CTCCCCCTCCACCACCCTCCGGTTTCGGGGAGCCCCCACCTCCACCTAGCTTTGGTGCCCCGCCGCCTCCACCGCCTCCTTCCTCTGGCATGTCATATCCCTCTCCCCCTGCTCCCCCTCCTCCACCCGATATGTCTGCAGCCGTCCCCCCGCCGCCTCCCATCGCTTCGGGTGGCGGGCCGCCGCCGCCTCCTCCACCTCCTCCGCCCCCAGGGCCACCACCTCCTCCTTCTTTTGACAATCCCAGCGCCCCACCTCCTCCCCCCAGTGGTGGAGTGGCACCCAGCTCTGCTCCCAAACCTCAACCAGCTCCACCCAGCGATGGTCGCAGTGACCTCCTGCAGGCCATTCGGCAAGGTAAGACTCCAAAATATAAATACAGACGTCCTCCTTTCACACTGCAGGGACGATCCATTGAGCTAATCGTGTTTAATTATGCTGTTTGAGTTAATGCATGGGATGCAAATAAAGACTGATCAAAACACTTTAGTCTAATGAGCCGTGGCTCATGGTCTCAGAKGAAGACTGACACCAACAAGCCCCACTTGACAGCAGGGTCCAGTGTTAGTTATGCATATTATGTCAATTATAAAAAACTAGTCGACACAGAATTTTATTATCAACGATTTATATTATTTACCCATGTACATGTTAATTTGTAGCTGCATCACTTCTGTTGTCTGTRGTTGCTTTGTTTACTAATGAAGAGGTGCCGGCCTACAAACCACAGAAGAAGCTGCAGTGGGCACCTCAACGAGCAATAATAACAGTGGAGCGGAAGGACAGTTAGTCAAAGAGGGGAAAAAAACCAAGACATAATAGTTKRTTACATYTTACYAAAAATMAACCAAAGAAAGTGAAATGCAGAATTGATTATTCCATGGCAGCACAGCGGCAGTAAAAACATAAACACCTRRACTGCTAACATGCTGGAATCTTGATGATGTCCTCTCCAGATGGGTGTGTTTCAGAAAGTCAGCTTGTTTGTCAGGTTGAAGCCTCAGATCTTATTTTTGTGCTGTAGCCAACTGTCTTATAGGTTTTGTTAGTTTCCTTTTCAGAAGAAAACAGTGTCTTTTGGAAGCAGAGCTATCATTTATGTTAACGTTAGCTTAGCTAATGCAATAAGTGCAATGACAGCAACTCTCTGAATTATGGTAATAATCCATCCTGTCTCATCTTCTCCCATGTCTTTGCGTTGAAGTCTTATAGATAAACTTTATTGTCTGTCCCAATGGTGACAGAAATTCTTCCCAGTGCTCCATGTTAAAACACACACATTCAAGAGAAGAGAAAACAGACAAGCAAGGACACAACAAGTATTAATAAAACCCATATTTATACAAAACAACCAAGGTAAAACAGTCCTTAAAAGGGAATAATGTAACCATTCAGCCTTGTTTATTAGGGTTTTATATATATTTATAGTAGAAGGGACAAATGAGTTTTTACAAAAGTTTTTCTTGGCCAGGGGAACTTTATAATGTCTCCCAGAGGGTGGGAGCTGGATAAAGCAGTGAAGGGAATGTGACTGGACCTCTGTGATCTGATTTGAACTTTCATACTGCCAGAGCCAACAAGATTTCAAACAGGATGGATTAGTTTTTACTTTTATGCACCTGAAGGTCACTTTAACCAAAGTTATTSTTTGATTTATTTTGAACTTCCAAATCTACTTCCACACTCTGCAGGGTCCCTATTGTAGTAACTTTAATATTATTCATCCTAACTAAATTAGTAGATGTTTTTATTTTAAAATATAACAAGGACACTTAAAATGATAAAGACCTAACTATTGCTTGTAATGACAGTTTTTGTATACATGTAGGTATTCATTAATTTTATTAATTAATTAATTGGCTAAGAACACCTTCAGATTTTTCTTATAAAGTGTGTAATTTCTGCTGCACGCTCCGTCTAATAACCAACCTCTCTCTCAGGTTTCAACCTGCGTAAGGTGGAAGCACAACGGGAGCAGGAGAAGAGCGATCACTTTGGCAACGACGTGGCCGCCATCTTGTCTCGTCGTATCGCCGTGGAGTGCAGCGACAGCGAGGACGACTCCTCGGAGTTTGACGACGACGACTGGTCCGAGTGATCGCCCTCTGTTTTCATCGTCACTACTACCATCCTCCCTTAGTCTTTATCAACATCTGCGCGTTACAAAGCACAGGTAGTACGAAGAGTATTGTAGTGTTTTGAGATCACATTCCTCGACCAGTTTATTTCCATTTATTCAAACTTACTCATCGGGTGCAAAGGTCCAAAGAATGAGTGTCTGCTTCTTGTTTACCTTCACTTTTCTGGGCAACACACAGCTGTTGATCTAACAGTATTATATGTGATGTGGTGCCTTTTTATCTATCGAGCATCTGCTTCAACACATCGACTCCATCTTTGTTTTAGTGCCTGGGATCAGAAGGTGTCGCGCTTTAGGCCAAACTAAAAGATTATGTAATCAATTCAAAGTTTACATTTTAATTGTAATTACCAAAGTTAATTATATCACTTGTTCTGAGGTCCTCTAGTTTGTCTTTTCTTTTCTTAACTTGTTGTGGTGCCCATAGGAACAAATTATTTGTCATAGCTCATTAATAAGCTGTTAAATTAATGATTCATTATAATAGAAGAGGTGCTGATTTAAATCTGACACCAAAAATGTTCAAGAATGCCACGATGCTGAACTTATGCAAACATTTTCCCTTAATTCTAAATATTTTCTAATATATTTTAGCCATGTTGTGATTTTTCCCAAATTTGTTTTTATGTGTATATGTGGGGATGAAGGAGGTTGTTTTGCTTTCTTCAGTAATGAAAAACGAGGAATTCTGTTGCCTCATGTGCCTTTTTCTACTGCTTTTCAGTGCCTGTGCCTTATTATTACTGGTCCTGAGTAAAATAACTGCTTCATTTGATAAATTAAGTGCCTTTTATCTGCCAGTTTTACAGCACAATCACAGCATGCTTAGCCAATTTTTTTTCTTTTTTTTTAGGTTTCCTAATGATTTATTTCAATAAATATTATGCGAAACTGAAATGGTTTAAAGTTCTTTGAGAATGTGGGGATAGATTTTTCTGCTAAAATGCATGAAATAACGTGTTTTGAAGTCCATGACTCATCCTGTTTACATGAGTGGTGGACACTTTTTTTTCCTTTACAGAGCTGATAAGTGTTGGGGGAGTTTGAAGTTCAGAGTGAGAGAAACATCTTACGTAATCCCTGAATCCCCACGATGTTGTGATATTTTTCTCCCTCAATCTGCTGGGTATTTTTAATACACGCCAAATAATTTAGAGTGGTCTAAAAAGTGAGAGAAGACAAACGCACTAAAAGCCTCGGCAGCAGTGAAGAGAACAGTCTTGACATCATACGGTGTAAAAAAAGAGCTCATTTATTATTCATCAGTATAAAATATTCATCCATTTCAAAAATGTTGTGCAGCCCAAAAAAGAAAAAGAATGAAATAACATATGGTCAGTACTTTTTCAAAGTGCTTTTATCAGCATGTGCAAAATATATTCCCACAGATTTACAACATTTTTGTTCTCCGGAAATTCAAGTAAATRAAACTGGGCTTTGGATCACATCTGTTAGGCCTTCGATTTAAAACCCAGTGCTTCTCCCCTTAAAGTGCTCGTTAATCCAAACCTGTAGCATCGCTGTGATTGCTTTCATTGTAAGGGATCCATCGGAGCTACAGTCGACTGAGGCACGATGTAAACACCGGACAGTACGTTTAGTCCCAACTTGGCGGGCAGCAAGGACAGTTCAGTACATTCTGCTTTTGGAGGACTTAATCTCTGAAAAATGCTGCTTGTGTGTGGGAGGGTGCGTGTCTTTTGGCACATAAACAGTGATATGTTTGGCATGGATTGTGTGTTGCCTCCACGGCAGGGGCGTTAAGGCGGTCTACACGTCGACGGGGTGGTGAGTGTGCGTGCTGCGTGAGCATCTGTGAGGGCAGCAGGCGTGGAGGAGCACCTTGCGAATGTCTTTGTTTCTCAGGCTGTAGAGGATGGGGTTGAGCAGGGAGCTGCCTGCAGCTGGCACCAGGGTGGCATAGGTGTACAGAGGCGGGCTGGACGCGTCGCCCAACAGCCCCCAGAGGGAGAAAGGCATCCAGCAGCCCACAAACACGCTCAGGACCACGATCAACCGRGAGAAACCCTTTCCGCTGCCGTGTTTGCTTGCATATTGGTTGCTGGTGGGAAGGAAGTGCCTCTGGGTGGCGATGGCGTGGGCGTGTCGCCTTGCCACGCGACAGATCCCAGCGTACAGTTGCAAGGTTATCATGACTATAATAAGAAACCCCCCACAAAGCAGTGATAGATATGTCCGGGTCAAAGGTCGTGCTACAGAACAGGAGTTCGGCTCCTCGAGGCAGTGCCACCCCATCGCCGGTCCCGCGCCGATGACGCAGGCCGCCGCCCAGACGAGCAGCAGGAGGGAGGCGGCGCGGCGACGCGATTGGCCCGAGCCGTAGGTGAGGGCGTGGCTCAGAGACAGGTACCTGTCCAGGGCGACGCCCATGAGGCTGCAGAGCGAGGCGGTCAGAGAGGTCACCAGCAGTCCCGAGGTCAGCAGCTCCGACCGGTCGCTGGGCTCCACGCAGAAGCTGAAGAGGAAGTGCAGGATGAGCGCCACGCCCGCCAGGAGGTCGGCCAGCCCGAGGCTGGCGAGCAGCAAGAAGACCGGCGCCCGAAGAGACGGCGTGGCCAAGATGGTGGTGATGACAACGGCGTTCTCGGCGGCGATGAGAGTTCCCGAAACACACAGGGCCACGCCCCAAACGGTGAGAGGCAGGACTTTAGGGGGGGACAAGCTTTCCTGTTGATCCAGTGGAAAGAGAGGGTCCAGACCGGAGGACTCCTCCCAGCCCAGGTCTGAGGCATTCAGGGTCATGGTTTGTTCACAGTAGCACCAGTAAAACCTAAGAAATGAAAGAGAAAGGTGATGTCATGAGTCATTACTTCATTTTATCCAATAATTGAGTACAGCAAGTTTAAAGGTGGGCATTGTCCTCACTGGCCCCCCTCTTAGTGATGCCTCTGAAGTCGTGCTCAATCCAGCAGAAAATTCCTGCACTTTTAAAAGGCAACAAATCACTGTAAATCCAGACTTTATATCCTCTCGAATTTGATTAAATTGGAGTGTTGTGTCCCACTTCTGAATCATTTTAGTCTGGAAAAATCTGAGTTTTTATTCGTGAAAAGACAAGAGGTTTTGTCAACACGACATTTTTTTAAGATGGGAAGTGGATTGCAATTACGGGAAATAATTCCACTTTTAACAGGATGCAAAGTAAAAATATAAATGGAGCAAAATAGCACATTATAACAGTAGTGCTTTATAAATAATTCATTATTTGTCCGTTAATACATTTTAAAAAGAACAGGCGGTTCCAGGTGTCATCTTCCATCCTTTCAGTCTCACAGATGAAGGAGGAGGAGGAGGAGGTATTTCCCACGTCCTTTTGGTAAAACCCCTCTGTTGTATAAGAATTACTGGTCCTCTGCACCACAGAGGAACATGTTATTAGCCAGGCAATAAATCATTTAAAGGCTCACCTTTTCAACACGTCCTCTGCAGGAGTCCGGCGGTTCTCTTCTCTGATCCGCTAACAGGGCTGAGAAGAAGCTGCTGCAGTTGCGGGTTTACAAAGATCCAGACCCGGTCCTCTGGTCCTCATCAAGCTTGAGCCAAAATCCCGCCTGGCGTGGATCGCATCTCCGTCGTCCTTTTTTCTCTCCGTCCCTTCCGTCTCCCCGGAGCGCTCGCGAGCGGCAGAATGGATGCTCCGGCGCGAGACTCACCCACAAAGATAGCCCGTCTGACGTCAGGGCCTAGGGGCTCGACCAATCAGCGGCCGTCTTTCGGGATGCAGCGCGAGCAGAGGGAGGGGGATGAGGTGGATRTGGAGTAATTTCATTCAGAAAAATGCGGCATCCTCGTGGCTCCGCCCACTGCGGTTCCCTCCAGCACGGGTTTCTTGTAAATGACGACTCCCCCCCACCCCCCCGCCGCCCTCCTTCTGCCACCACCACCACCTGTTAAACGCACTCTCATCAGTAAATCCATGGCCTTTGTGTGAATGAATCGGTCTGTTGGGTGTTGGACAAATTGATGGACAGGGTTTGGAACTAATGACAGGATGATGGTCACGTGTTGGACAAGTTAAAGAGAGTAATGGACAGTGTGTTGGACATAAGMACATGGTGGAGAGTGTGTTGGACAGGATAAGGGACAGGGAATTGAACAGGGTAAAAGTGCTGGAAAGGAAGGACAAAACAGGATGTTGGGACAGACTGGCGCTGTCCGCGGTGCTGAAACGCAYAACGATGACTCAACCCAGTTCGTYAGCAAAATATCTCATGAGCCACYGGACGGATTTTWATGAAACTTTCAGAAGTTGATCATTGCAAGAACATCTGAAACTGTTAAACTTTTGGTGTCAATCCAATTAAAGATGGCCGCCACAGCTAATCATCATTAGCCAGCACATAAACAGCTGTAACTCAGTCACTTGCACACATAATGAGCTGAGTGATGGCAGATGAGTCATCACAACACATATTTCCACCAGATCTGATCTGAAAACTTAGACATGAAAGGCGGCGGCCTTCACAGAAAGCTATCCCTTTAATATTAACAAAGGAAATGAGAAATTTGCAAATTTTTAAGTGTTAAACAAATGTGTGAAATAAGCATTACATAACAAGTCTCATCCTCACATGTTCCTGACCCAGATTTTAGCTTAGTTACACAAGCTTTAATAACATTTGAAGTAAATAAGAATGAAATATGAACTCAAACGAACTTAAATGAATTAAAAAACAACGACAGAGAAAGATTTATTTGGTCAAAATGAGTTTTTGTTCTGATTCGCATTTAGTTGAATTTTATAAAGGTAAATAACGTTGTTTTTGTCAAGAAGACTCTTAGGATTTCAGTACATTAAATGTCAAACAATCAGAAATAAATCGATCTGCTTTGAATAGAGGATTTCCTGCACGTGACAAAAGGAGCAGATTTTTGCGTTTCTTCCTTTGGTTCTTCTGACAGCCTCACAGCTCGCGGGGACTTCGCGGCATCCCCTCTGGTTCCACAGCGAGCGTGGGTTGCTGTCCAGCTGCCGTCTACGTGGATCCTGGTCTCGTGGTCCATGAGCGCGCGGAGGGGGATTCTCATCCTGCTCAAGCCTTATATGGGCAACGCTTCCTGTGGTTAAATACCACCGACGCCATAGAGAGGAGCCACTTGTAACCTTCAGAAATGGCGCCTGCCATCGAGCAGCTAAAAATGCAGAAACATTCAGGAGCTGGTGTGTTTCTGTTCGCTTCGTCTTCATAAAGCAGAATTTATCATTAGAGGGGAAAACTGCAGCATCCTTGTCTGCACGAGCTCTGATTTCAGCACAATTGAAATCCTCCCTTCTACTGACATTAAAACAGACTGAAAGAAGGAAAACTAAAGAGGCTGTGATGGTTGAGTTCATTCAGCAGCGGGTGTCGTTATGCTGGACTAATCAGTCCTTTTGTTTTAAGGTTCAATAAGTTCAGAGGACTTTTTTGTTCTGCATGTTTCTGCAAAAAGGGACAAAAATAATCCAGTTTTATTTAAACATATATTTCTTGTGATTGGATCAGATTTTTTAATTTGTAATCTACAAAAAGAAAGCTTACAGGTTAAATATTTAACGACCTGATGGGAGCAGAATCATTTTATTGATTTTATTGATTTAGATGCACAAAAATCAACGAGGAGCAGTGGTGCCTCCCGAAATGGTTTAACTGGGGGGGTCTCATGTAGGGGCCAATAAAAATCCTGGGGTGGATAGACCAAAAGATGACAGAACAGTTATCATATTTTACAAAGACAGCATTGGTAACCACATTCTGGTGCCATGATTGTCAAGTTGAATTTGTTCAATAATGGAGCTTATAACTCAAATTATTTGTAAAATCAAGTTTCCCCAAAAAATGAATTGAAATGACATCAATCTGCCCCTCCCCCATAGAAAAAAAACACTGCAATTATGTTTTATTACATAGTTTTAAATGAAAAATGTACTCATAAATAAAAAAATTGCATCAAAATACAAGACAATACCAGTACTGTGCAGCATTTACCTTGGAGATCAGACGACTTGAAGATRCTGGAGAAGGCTGAACTGAAAATAAACATCTGCAAATACGAGTGTAACACCGATGCTACCGCTACGAGCTAAACGCTTAAAGTACGTGTCAAATTCAAGACCTGCGGGCCAAATGTGGCCTGTCACTGCATTTTATGTGGCGAGAGCTTCAAATTCTGCTTTGAGGCCAGTATTGACCTTAAACTACAGCTCCCATAATGCATGATTGATTATTTTATGCTCAAAATAATGGCATCCCACTCTGCTCTGTAAAATCCTCATTTTGCTACTATATTTGCTGATGTCCAGTTGTACTGGGAAATGGAAATTTCCCATTTACAAGTTGTGGATTTAAACAGGAAAGTCCCTTCAGTAGGATTTTCCTGTTGGAAAGTGGGACAATTCAAAATTCAAGATGGCGGCTACTCACCACGACTCAACAACTCTATTACTTTTACTTTGAAAAGTATTTCTGAATTATTTATTTCATTTAGTCAGTCTACATGCAGTACTGTTCAGTGTTTATAAGAGGACATGTTAAAATGCTGTTCCTATGCAGGAAATACCACGTAGAGCTCAGTTATTATTTGTTGGTCGTTCTCAGGTTTAGTCATTCATTTGGTTAAACATGAAACGTCAAAGATTATTACAACTGACCCTTTTCATAACGTGACCCTCAGGGAAAATGAGTTGACACACCTGGTTTAAAGYGAACGAGTGAAACAGGATGCTGTTTAGATCAGTCCAGCCAGAATCCAGCTCTGTTTCTGCAAACTGCGGGCGTTCAAAGAGCTACTGTATCTGTGACAGGTAAGATATTAAATATTCAGAACCTTTTCACAGAAACTTCCCTCAAAAGATCTGGACTGTTTAGGATATCTGAACCATTGACATATTTTATATCAATCGTCTGAACAGCAGCTGCAGAAACCGGAGATTGGGTCTTGGTGTGACATCACCTTTTATCAAGCTGAAAATGAACGACTGTAAAACGTATTTTAAGTTACAATAAAAGCTTGATAATCATTAAAAGTAAAGATGTTGAAAGTCCAGAGTGGATTAGTTTTAAAGCCTTCATCCAGTTTTATCACAGGAAGGATGCTGTGAGAGAACATGATCATTTTTTTATGATTTGTGACTTTATTCCAGCTCCTGTTTGTGCTGTTTTGTTTAAAGTRGGAGTTTGTGCCCGCTGGGGCAAACAGGTGTCAGTCCTTCAGACAGGTATGGGTTACACCTGGGTCAGTTGCCAGGGAACCAAGTTTCTGCTCTTCATGTTACACAGATCTCCTGCTCTCTTCCTCTCAGCGTCCTCATTGAGAACCACAGCTCCATTGGAAACTTTTGAATCCTCTTTTAAGGACTAACTGGACACACGTACATATTTAAAATTTTGGACCTTTTTGTTGATCATTTTGACTGAAGTTTGACGGTGTTAGTGTTCAGGATGCGACGTTTGGTGCCGAGGGTCCTCTGCTGGTTTTTGCTGCTTCTAGCAGGGGCTCTATTTGTGCTCTCCCAGCCATCACAACCAGGTATTGATCTGTTCATGATCTGCATTTATTCTTTTTATACTGTTTTACAAGAGTTTCCTTCACTTTTTTTATTGTCTTACCCTTGCTAAACCAGGGGACTGTTCTTATACCTTATAATCACTTTAATAAGAATCTAGCATCGTTTCAGTTATTCCTCTCATTTTACTCAGACTGGATTAACAAAAGGAAAAAAGCAGTAATAAATATTTCAGTGGAAACATATTTATGCAGCTATTTGGTTTGATTGACACTGCTGACTGAGCTGCTTGTTTGGTCCCTCGAACAGATTGTTCTCAGGCTGAGTCATGTGACCTGTGTGTTGGCGACTCCATGCTGAACCTGACAGGCTGCGTCTGGAGGCTTTGTCCAAATGGTAACACACACACACACACACACACAGAATCAAACACACTCCATTGCCTTCGGATGGTAATCTAATCATCACAGCTGCTGTAACAGTAGCTCCCCCCATTTGTACAAGATGACTAAATTATTTAGCATGTCAGAAACACACACACACACACACACACACACACACACACACACACACAC